CGCGTACTGCTTCATCTTGAATACCAAATAAATGCACTTTACGCGGACTGAGATAGTAAATCTTACTTACTTGTTGATCAGAATGGGGCACGTGAACGTTTTGTGCTCAATCGTAACTGTAATGAGCAATCGCGTCAATACTACAATAATCAGCTTTGCCTCTTGTTATAAAACACTCATCTACTAATTTTCTCTGTTGTTCTGCTAATTTCGTATTTTTGGTGTAATAATTTCTTTCTAATTTAGCCTTAACTAAATATTCTTTAAATTTTTTCAGTAAATCTTTCGCTTCTTCTTCTTTACGAGCATTATACTGTAAGCCGTTCCGAAAATGTTGGCACGTGTCACATAAATCTGTTCGTGGACTCATAATTTGAATATAAGGTGTTAATTGGTGCCATAACTTGCGAAACGCATCATATTTTAACAGTTTCAACGTGCTATCGTTTTCTAGACCTGCAACAAAATTGCGATAGACCGATTTATAACTCGTTTCAGCTGGTAAAAGCATAAGCGATTGAGTAATGCGATTGACATTTCTACCCGGACTTGGTAGTCCATGAATTTCAGCATAGTTTTCAAGAAAATTCTTTACGGCAGTAGCAACAGTTATATCAATGGTTATTTTAGTTTTCCATCGCGGCACTCGTTTTATGTTACCATGAATACGCGGTATTATACCATTCGTCACTAGGTGATTTCTGACGTTTTCGAAGTGTGTGCGTCCAATTCCTAACATATTGAGATACGTTTTCTGACAAAGAGTTGTATTACGATCTCAATAATAAAACGTTCGCTTATTAGTACGCGTTTTCTTTTTAAGACGTCGACTGGCAGTTATTTCTCCACCATTCATTGCTTTCAACTGGGCCATTAAAAATATGTCTTGCTCGGATCTAGATAGAGCTTGAAATGCTTCACGTAATTCAGCAAAATTTTCTCTCGGAATCATTTTTGAACAACCACAATTACAACCTAACTCCAAGAAAGAAAGTAAACAGGAAAAAAAGACCAATTAGATAAAAAACGCAAAGAAGCCCAAATTAAAAATTTGCAAGGTTGACAGGCTAGCGATCTGGATTATAATATTCAAGCCCCACCTGAGCGCATGGCCTTTTCATGTTCAGTCGAACCGTTATAACTATAATCTTTCATATACGGGTAATCCTATATATAATTTTTATTACTTTTGAAACTTTATTTAATTTTCGCTTTATTGCCTTGCTCTTGAAATGTAGAATGTTCAAACATAGATATCATCAAAGAAATAGTTGATCAGCTATTTTTCTAGGATCAGTCATCTAAAAGATGATAATGGGAATCCAGTGATATGGTAAAATTAAGCAAAGTAGTCTTTCCTTATTTCTGACTTCCGCGTTTGCTTTGTCTCGTTGTTCTTGTCCTCTTACTTGTTTCTGCCGCTGTCCCTTCATCCAATGACCTGCTGGCATTAATATAAATGTTAGCTGATATGCAGACTAACAAAAACCTGAATAAATAATAATATACCTTTTCTTGGGATAAACACAAGGTAGTAACTGATACATGCAGTTCTTTTCAATGTCTGTATGGCATAGCCGACCTGGGTCATTCCATGCACGCAAAAGATTTTTAAAAATGCTTTGATGGTTGTCGTCAAGTTTGAAGGCATTCAAGCCATGGATAGTGAGGCGATTTCCAGAATCACATTCTTCGAACAGCTTGCGATTATCATAATTGCTCACGGCTGTCCCAGATTCGTCTTCATAAGCAGACCCTGAAAGAATATAACAACATTGATTAAAATAACCACTCAATGTAGAATAATCTACTGTATTACACAATAAATGCAAAGATAGATCAAAGTCTGTTCTTACCAAGATGCACGAAAATACCCAGATAATTCTTTTCAATGTCAGCATAACAATCATCAGCAAACATCACTTCTGGTGATAACAGCACCTTGACAGCATGCGTCTCCTCAAATCGATTTTGTTTTACACTGCTGTAGTTCTTAATCTACAGATGCAGTTCATCCTGTTAGTTGTTGCAGGATTGCAATAACAAAAAACTTGTTCGCACTATACCTGAAAAATTAAAGCACCTAAACCGTTATTGCTTTCACGAATAACGGGTATCGCTAAATCTGCGCCTTTTTGATTGCGTTTAAAGACAATGGCTCCGCGCCGGTTCCATATCTCCTCACAAGTCTACCTATCTGGCTCATAAGAGAAATAAAGTGAGAGAACCCTATTCTAAACCATCAAGTTGTGAACAATTCTCTCTTGGAAAATTCGCTATTAGTTCATCCAGAAAGTCGAGAACTGGCCGACGGATCAAAAATGACACCTTTTGCTGGAAAAATAGGCGAGTCAGCAAAATAACAAAGGCATGACTGTTCAAAGCAATTGATACATACTCCAGTTCGCTTCCTTTCACAGCATATCAAGCGACGCCAGGCACTCAGCAACAACAATCTTGCGACCAGCTCACCCTGGCATCCTGCTTCCATAATACCGCCAGATTGGAAGGCTCCGTCCAGTTCTCTCAGAATTTCAAGTTCACTATTTTCCTCAGAAAGCACTTCGAGTGCAGCTTCAGAAAGAACTGGTTCTGATGGATATGTAACAAGAAGCCTCTTCCGTTCTTTATCAATCGCGACAAGTGTACCCATATGGGCCTTGACAAGGTCTGATGCTTCGCTTGAGGTTGGGGAAACATAAAGGAAGGCAATGCAGGCAACTAGAGCAAGAGCCGCTGTTCGTTTTAGCCTATAATCTTTAATTTGACTCCAAGCAGATTCTCCACCAAGGAGTTTGTGTGTCTGCTCAATCGTAGCTGTAATGAGCAGACGCGTCAACGCTACAATAATCAGCTTTACCTCTTGATATAAACTGTTCATCTACCAGTTTCCTTGTCCTTCTGCCAATTTCGTATTTTTGTTGTAATATTTTTTTTCTAATTTAGTTTTAACCAGATGTTCTTTAAATTTTCAATAAATCTTGTCTTCTTCCCGAGTATTGTATAGTGGGGGACACAAGTACGCATCAAATTGTTTCAATTTTCAAGGGGAAATCATTACTGAAAATGTCAATGATCAACAATAGTAATTTTATTAAATTTATTAATTTTTATTTATATTTTTTAACTGCAAATTCTGCCTGTCGTCCCTCCAATCCCTTCCTATAACAATCCATAAATCGTTTGGACCTTAATGCATATTTTCGTATTGTCTGTAGAGAAATAGAATCGAATGCGGATGGAAGAGTTTCCTTTAAACCGTTCCAAGTGTAATCGCAATCATTCCATTCATACACTTCACTACTCCCATCTTCAATCATATCATTAATAAAAGCATTGTCAGTTATTATTATAGTAGTATTATTATACAGGGAATCTGTTGGTTTTCTCCTTTTCCGAGCAAGCTTACGACATTGTTGAGTGCGTTTTGTGGGCCTGACCATTATTATAATTAATATTAAAGACGAAAATTTTTCGTTCTACACAATCTTTATTCAATGGTAATGTATCACAAAGTTTCCTTTTTTGTTAAGGCCTTAAAAAATGTACCAGATTTAAAGTAAATTTTACCAGTAAAGGCTGTTTCAAATTTCCGCTCACTATATAGATTAACCAAACTTTGAACAGTTATATCTCAAACCACATGTAACACTTGTCAATTTTCTAAACGTAACTTGTTAACATTTATCAAGAAGAACAAAATGGCGTTCTTAAATTTTGAATTATTAATACAGTAGTGCTTGTATTACTGTTAGAAATACATCGATGTTTGTTTGATGTGTACTTGTGTCCCCCACCATACTGTAAATATTGACATGTGTCACATAAATCTGTCTCGGACTCATGATTTGAATATAAGGCGTTTATTGATGCCATGACTTACGGAACGCATCGTATTTCAACAATTTCAACGTAGTATCGTTTTCGAGGCCTGCAATAAAATCATGATAGACCGATTTTGTAACTCGTTTCGGCTGGCAAAAATGTTAGCGATTGAGTAACATGATTGACATTTCTATCAGGATTTGGTAGTCCATGAATTTCAGTGTAGTTTTCGAGAAAAATTTCACGGTTGTAGCAACAGTTATATCAATGGTTATTTTAGTTTTCTATTGCGCGGTATTATGCCATCCGTTGCTAGATGATTTCTGACGCATTCGAAGCCACTTCCTAACATATTAATATTGAGATACGTTTTCTGACAAAGCGACATATTACGATCTCAATGGTAAAAGATTCGCTTATTAGTACGCGTTTTCTTTTTAAGACGTCGACTGGCAGTTGTTTCTCCATCATTCATTGCCTTCAGTTGGGTGGGCCATTAAAAAAATACCTTGTTCGGATCTAGAGAGAGCTCGAAACGCCTCACAAAATTTTCTCTTGAAATCACTTTTGAGCAACCACAATTACAACCTAGCTCCAAGAAACGTATTGCGTTTCAAATTCAGTCGAACCATTATAACTATATTTTGAAACGGAATAACTTGCAACAAACAAATGCTCTTCTTTTTCTAAATCGGGGCTGGGTCCTTCCCTGTGCACGTGAAATTAGTGTCGATAAAATTTTGTAATTTGGGGTAATATTAAAATTTGTTGTTCACGATTTTATAACGACCTTTCTTCATTATATCTCTCTGTATAAGAAAGTCTATACATTTTTGATTGACCAGATATGACGTTTTTCCTTGAAAGCTTTCTTTTTCTTCTGACTGTGTTTATCACTTGAACTTTTTTCTTTCCCTCAGCAAACGGATTCTATCAGTCCAAGTCTTGTGCGCTTGGTAAGTTGAAAATTTTTTAACACAACGCTTCTTACAAGAGGGGTGACGACGAGACTTATTTGCACGTCAGTCAAGAAGGAATAACATGTTGACCCAATATATACCCAAATTTCTGACCATTGAGAAGTGTATTTTAATGTGTGGTTATAATTGAATACGTATTAATTGACATAAGTTCACATTCTTTAGGACATGATATGCTTATATACGACCGTCATGCATTACTCCAGTTGCATAAGATGATCCACTAGTTATGAATATAACAGTGCCGCTCATTATTTTCTATATTCAAGGGACTAAAATACGACTAAGATGAATTTACATTATGAAACACCATTTCCATTCCCCTGTGCGTCTCTTAACGCATACTTGGTTGCTTTGAACTGTTCAGACAACTTTGTAGCTGTCTGATCGATCCATTGCAACGAAGTCAGATGCGCATTCAAGATCTTGACAACTTCATCAAGCTAAAGAAGGGCAGAATCAAAAAGATGAAAAAATAAATGAGAGTTCACAAGACGATCAAAATATCTTCGATTTGACAAAACCGCTTACCGCATCCTCCTCTTCATTCTGTGTAGTATCGTCTGCTTCTTCGCTCAAAGCAGCACCATTTGACGTTGACATGTTACGATTGACTTCTGTTATTATTGTAGCCAGAGTTTGACCCATTTTATCCAACTCTTCATTCATCGACTCGACCAGTTTATAACTATAGTAAAAGAAGAGAGATCATGTAAATTTAAATTATCAATCACACACATACACAGTCAGATTTTTTTTTTATGAATACCTTTTCTCGCGCGTTTTATCAACTGCCGTCTCTGCAGTAATATTTGCATATTTCGTTTCATATTGTTCAACTATTTTCTCCAGATGTTCAGCTTGCCCGACTATATTATCCAGATCTGAACGAATCACTTGCTGAATGCTTTTGATGCTTTCGACTTGGTTGGCTATATCATTGACCTTTGAGAAGATGTGCATTAATAACTATTGCACAAGCAATTGATTTGAATGCAGTTTAATTTAATACACTTACTTTGCCAATATTATCGATAACTTTACGGTCCATTTCACCAATTTCCTTTGCTTGACTATGAAATGCCTTTTCGCATACATCTAAATCTTTATTCCATTTATTCATAATATCTTCAATTGATGCAGTCTTTAACCAATTAGGAACCGTCGGGGCAGTTAGACCAGTCATAGTTGATCCTGATGCCGTTGTTGATGTCGTTGCTGAAATTGGTGGTTTAGTTAATAATGATGTCGTTGCTGACGTTGAAGTCGTTGCCAAAGGTGCTGTCGTTGACGTCGATGCTGTCGTTGCCGATGACGCAACCGGCGTTGTCGTTGCTGGTTTGCTCGGGAATGATAACTTAGGTTGTGGTATGTTCAAAGATCCACTGGATGAAGTCGTACTTTGTGATGTTGCAGATCGAGCAAAGAAATTACTTCCGAGTGAAGAAGGTTTGGTGGAACTCGCCTGCGAAATTCCCCCAAAACCAAAGGCGGACCCAGTGGCAGCGGCGGTTGGAGTGGTAAGAGTAGCTGTGGCAGTTGTGGCAGTTGTGGCAGTTGTGGCAGCTGCGGCAGTTGTGGTGACAGTTGTGGTGGCAGTCGTGGTAGCAGTCACAGTGGGAGTTGTGGTAGGAATTGTGGTGGTGGGAGTTGTTCCACCAAACAAAGGTTTGGTAGAGGCTGTCTGAGATAGTGCTCCAAAACCAAAGCCTAATCCAGTAGAATTAGTAGAATTAGGAGCAGTTACAGCTCCACCAAGCGGCGATTTGGTGGAAGCTGCCTGTGAGAACCCTGCGAATCCCCCAAATCCAGTCGGAGCAGAGGTATTGGTTGTGACTGTGGTTGCGGGAGTAGTAACTGTGGTTGCGGGAGCAGTGACTGTAGTCGCGGGAGCAGTGGCCGTAGTTGCGGGCGTAGTAGATCCGAATCCACCAAATGAAAGTCTGGTAGAGTTGATTGCAGTTGCGGGAGCAGTAGGGGCAGTGGCAGATCCGAATCCACCAAATGAAGGTTTTGTAGAGTTCGCCTGAGAAAGTGCTCCGAAAGCAAAGCCAAATCCTGGGGAAGCGGAAGTGGAAGTCGTGGTTGCAGTTCCACCAAACAAAGGTTTGGTAGAATTCGCCTGTCCTCCAAAACCAAAGCTAAGTCCGGTGGGCGCGGAAGTAGAAGTCGTGGCGGTATTTGCAGATCCACCAAACAAAGGTTTGGCAGAAGATGTCTGCTGCGAAAGCCCCCCAAAACCAAAGCTAAGCCCAGTAGAAGCAGGAGCGGAAGTTGCGGACGTATTGATTCCACCAAAAGAAGGTCTGGTAGAGGCCGTCTGCGAAAGTCCTCCAAAACCAAGTCCACCAAATCCAGAAAAAGTTGACGGTGCTTGTGCTGCTGCGAATGGAGAAGTTCCTGCACTAGTCGTGATCGCCGTAGCAAACGGGGATGTCGCTGCTGTTGTTTGTGATGCACCGAATGTCAGTGACGTTGTGTTTTGAGACGCCGAGCCGAACCTTAAGATTGAGTTGTTATTTTGCATTGCGCCGCCGAAAGACGGAGACGCTGCATTAGTCGAGCTGCCAAAAGAGAATCCACCTGGATTCTGAGCAAAGCCTAAACTTGAAATAATCGTTATTGCTCTATCCGTTTAACTCTATATACCGTGTTGGGCGAAACAAGAAAGCATTGCAACATCGTGTATTGTTATATAAGTACCGTACCGAATGTCGGTTTCGCCGTAGAATTATTGTTTCCCTGGTTGAACGCCATTTCATACTAAAAAATCCTAAAATTTTTGGGAACACATGATATTTATCGCTGCAAGAGACGCGCGCAGACTGCAACCTCTGCGGTGGCGCAGCATAAGGTGCGGTGCGAACATTATTAACCCATCAACTAAAAAGTCCCCGAGGAACTTTTGACTGTATTTCTTTCGTCCATATATGCACCATACTAATACTTTATTACCTAATCAAATTTGCTTGTCAATTGGTCCACAAACACCTCTTTCTTTGCAGAATCCATGGTCTTTGCATCGTTTGCAACTTTTACAAGAGTATAGCTTTTTTATCGTAGTGTATCCAGTCAAAAACTTAAATCTACTCCGGTGTTATTAATGCTAAGTGAAATGACGCGCTATATTTCAGTGTGCACAAAAATCTCTTTGTATATTAATCTATGCAAATGAAGATAGTTTTGTATGATTGAAAGTTTAGTGATTGTACGTTCGGGGGAGAAAGCAGTACATTCTTTATCTTGTTGCATTGTTCGATGGTGAAGGCGTTATGTCGTACTTACATTTCAAATCATAGCCTGAATGCTTGTTTATGAAACATGTACTCAACAGTAATTGCTTATAATACACGTATATAGTGATGTACGTAAGCGCAAAACGATTTTATAGGCAGAGACGTTCGCGCAGTAACATAGGTTTAATTTATTGACTGAATAATTATGTAATAATGTCCATTAAAGTACATTATTCGAACGCCAGATGAAAGCATCGCGAGCAACAAAGCGAGAGAGCAAAATTGAGCATAACTTTTTTTCATGACATTTACTGTTGATTCTGATGTTTTCTAATAAGTACGCTCAATTTCTAACATATTATAATAAAATTTTCGAAACGAATTGTAATCTCAATAATAAAAAGAGTTTGTTTATTAATATGCGTTTTCCTTAAGACTTCAGCTGGCATTTGTTTCTCTGCCATTAATTGCTTTCAGCTGGGCCATTAAAATATATTATATAATAATTGTTATTCAGAATTATGAACAGACTTTGATGGTGCAGAAAAAAATTTGGACTGAAAAGTGTCAATATAAGAAATTTTGAATTTTATGACTGAAATCGCAATACATCTAAAGGTAAAGTATTTGGTGTTCGAAAATTTTGCTTGAGACATTGGGTGATCAGGGTGTATGGTACATTATGCAGAAAAATATTCAAAGCGTTCACTCATCCCTGTCCTGGATTAGACGCAGGTACTTGCGACCGCTACTGTAAATGAGCCGTTTATGCCGAAACCTTACAGCTTTACGTGAGTTGTTTATCTATCTAGTTAATTAATATTTCAACGATAAAAAAAATCAATTCAATTGTAAAGATCTTTATTTAATATTAGATCTATCCAATATGAGTATTTTGGCGATGGAATATGTGCTACTATTTATTTTTTTTGACACAAAAATTTGTCACAAAGATTGAATAAAATTATAGCGTTTGTGGGTTTAAATATATCTTCCCTCGAAGAGTACAATCAACTAGCTCCCAATTGACTCAACATTTATTGTTACTTAATACTGAATACGAATAACGCAAATTTTCGAAAAAATAGATTTTCATAGCCAATACTTTTGATAGTGAGTGCATGTCGTGACGATTTTCAGTGTCAGTACAAACGGAGCTTCCCTCACACAAAGTTATTTATGCAATTAGTAATGTTCGCGGAGCGAGAAACAAAATTTGAATTCCGTTATGGATATACATGTGTAAGTCCAAACGTAAAAGCCCCCAGGAAAGCATATTAATCTCTGTCGTAATAGTCGATTGAGAATAGATTTAAATAGACCTTACAGCCTTGAAGAATGGATTGAATATTACAATATGCCACAAGTTCACGACGATAAAATCATTGTCGGTAACGAAAATGTGCTAAGCTGTAGGGAGTTTAAAATATGAGCCCCTCGAAGGCTTCTTCTGGAAAGTGGAAAGAGCGAATTTGGGCGCGTTTAACACGTTTTAGAGAAAATAATCTTTCGCCGGATCAGAGTAAAAGCTATCTTGAAGCCAGTAAAGTAATCCAATTTCCGGATGGCGGCTCCTGAAATCGGATTATAGAAATTATAACCATGTGAGCATGGAGTTTTTTGCGCGCCGGAATAAATACTGTGGTGTAAATTACGAAAAGTGACTCGAAAAAATCTAACTTTAGATACCGTTATGATGATAAACAATGCTGTTGAGGTAATCGATAAGAATTTGCAAAACTGACAGTTTATTGTAATTAACTTGACTACAGCAAAGGGGAATCCACTCTATACTCGTTTGGGTTGGAGACATGATTACAAGATTTTACGCTAAATAGATATGAAGCGGTACCACAGCGCATCTGCTCTAATATCTTGTAAACGTGCATAATGCGGTAATGTAGGGCGAGTTTCTGAGCATTGAATCCAACAAGGCGGTAATCCATTCCGCGATTCACCTTTGTATCTTGCACATTTGAGTCTTCCGATTGCGTTGCATTTCCATAACAGCATATAATTATATTTAAGTTGATCTTTGTTTAAGTTCCGAATCGTTTTTGTAAGTTACACCATTGTATTTATGTCGGCGCATAAAATTCTAATGTCTCTCTACCCTATTATTATATAACCAACGAGTCAATTGACACCAAGTTTCACAGATTTTCAATGCTTTTGCATGTAATGAGTCTTTTGAATCATGTAATAATTTCATCAATAATGCGCTAATATTCACCACATCATATTTGCCTAATTGACAAAAATGCCTTTTGTCCTATAAAATTTCAGATTAGAAGCTCACCTGTGTTGGAAGCTGGGTTGGAACTTGTCACATTCTCTCTCTGTGTATAGTGTAGTCCAACTGAAATTTCTGATCAACCTATCATACAACAATTCATTCCAAAGTATTTTATATATACAAAATCCACAATATAAGCCAAAGAGCTATCCCTAGCCTAAGAGACCCAGCTTGCACTAAGCGTCGAACTAAGAGTTTATCACTGGCGGCTAGACCCAGCTTGCACTAAGCATCGAACTAAGAGTTCATAACTGATGGACTAAGCTCTTGGCATATACCTGCCACTACCAAAAAAACACTCCCACTTCTATTTTAAATTTCACTTATACTTTTAAGAAATATACAGTACCTTCAAATGGTCAAGGATTTTTAAACTCTGTGTCTACACATCTTAATCTTATCAAAGTCAGAAGCCAAATTCGCCACCTCCTGTAGTAGTAGTAGTAGTAGTAGTAGTAGTAGTAGTAGTAGTAGTAGTAGTAGTAGTAGTAGTAGTAGTAGTAGTA